AAATTTTCTATGTTTTAGTCACGTGATTTCAATAATTGTTTGTCACAAAAAACTTAATATATGGAACTCTATTTTACTTTTTACAGATTTGATCTAGCTCGTTTAGTTTAGGAGATAATCGATTTTTCTAGGCGCGGATACTTTTTGAAAGGCTGGATAATATTGTAATATCATATTAGTAAAATATTTATTAATAACAAGTAATGTGTTTATTAACATAGAGATGCAATTAATGCAAATATTGCGTTAAAAACTAAAATACATATCAATTAACAAAAGTAATAAAGATTGTTTTTATGCTTTATATACTGACAATAAAAAGCTAGCAAACATTAATTGTAATAATAAATACACATTTGTATATTGATTTGTAAAAACATAATTTTCTAAAGCAATTACATATAGGATTATCAACAAAATATTACAAGTTCCATAAACATTTTGATATTTTTAAATTTCACATTGACAATTTACGACGCATCTATTTTTTATGTAGATTTTGTTGGAAAAAGGTTTTACTACAATTCATTTGAAATAAAAGTTTATATAGTTATTTAACCTATACTACCTTTGTCTTAACTTTAACCAAATCCTGCATTACATAATAATCAAGGCAAACCTTGATGAGTTGGCAAGTTATTTCAGGCCTTATTTTAATGCCATGCATAATAAATTTTTAATTTATTGCACAAGAATAATACTGCAATACGATAAAATATTTCAAATTAGTTATAACAAAGTATTCATAGTTAAAAAACGTACGTAATTTAAAATACGGCATAAACATATTTATAACAAATTTATAAATTGTTTATATAAATAATGCGTTTTATTAAAGAATTACTCTTATTATTAAAAAGACATTTATTTAATACAATTGTGTTTACAATATGTTTGTCGATGTGTTTGAACCAATTGTATAGTTTGAGTGAAACATACTTTTCATACGAAACTATAACTAACGTAAAACACGAGGAATACGGCGACCAAACATCGCAGCCATCCATCACTATATGTGTCGATAAAATCAATATCATTGCCAATAAAGTCCTGAAGACATACCATCTGAACACTAGTGATGGCAAAGAGTGGACAAACATTTTTTTAAAACAATTCAATAATATCTCAATCGGCGAACAATTTAACAAATTTATACCATTAAGTGATTGGTTTAAATGTGTTGTTATCATCCAGAGAAATAAGGATACATTTTTTGCACCCTGTAGTCAACCGTATGTGTCCATTGATTACAGCAGTTTTTGCGCCACAATCGTTGCACAACATAATCACCATGGTAATTACGACTACAGAGGTAGCAAGGTGACTAAAGAGTTGTCTACCATTGGTATCGCGTTGAATCAAATGTACTTTTATAAACGCAACAAAAGTATAGCGGTTTTTGTGCATTCGCCAAACGAACGCCAATATTATGGGTTTGATTATCCGCACTTATTAGTTGATCCAACTAGTACAACCATGGTCAATATTAAATACCTGCCCACAATAGTTAAGTATAATGTCGGTAATTATTTACATAACTGTTTTGATGACGGCCAAAGTCGAGATTCTTGTGTATATACATGCATCCTAAATCATTGTGTTCGTGATGGTTTTAAAATATACTCAGAATGCCTGATTTATTTGCACAACAATAATACAATCGGCCATTCATTGCGTGACATGTATTTTCAAGACCCCAAACAAAAAGTTACTTACGATGAATGCTATGATAAATGTGATGACAGAATCGAATGCGTAAAACATTATTATTTGAAAATTTCTCATCAGGGTCATCGTCATGGTCATCCAAATGCATTATTACTGTACATAGCACCATTTTCAACACCGGTTGCTGTGTTTGAGGTATCATTGAAATTCTCACTTGGCACATTTATTATCCATATATCAAGTATTCTCGGCCTATGGTTTGGTGTCAACGCCGTAATGGCCGCAGAATACATAAAAACATTGTTTATTAAATTACAGCTCATAACTAATTTTCAACATATTCTTATACAAATGATTGGGGCTTTAAATGTAGCGCTCACTGGTTGTACGGTCACTGTTCGCGCGCGTATCCGCATTACACGTATTCGGCGTATACACCATCACTGGTAAATATCGTAGATTCTCACCGTTATAGAATTAATCATGTTCATGTTGTTTTATTATTAAAATGTTATTAATAATATTTTTAATAATTAGCATTAAATGTTAAACATTGTAAGTATGCTGTGCCTTTTATATAATGTTGATAAGTTTAATCAATTTGATCATAAATAATTATTAGTTCTTAAATAGACATAGAAGACTAATGGTTTAAACAAAATAAATCATGTTAAATAACTATCAAATCTATCAAGTTAAATAGACAGCGATCGTTTAACTAGATTAAAACCAGCAGCTTTAATTTCACTAATTAATAATCCCTTATCTTTGTGTCGTGTGCTGTCGGCCAGTGACCACTCGGCAAAGGCCGCGGCCTCCGCCACACCCTTACGGAACAGTGAGTCCATCACATCGGCCACAGCCGGCCTGTACTGGCACTGGGCGTACACCACCCACTCTAAGGCCGTTAACAGCTTTATGTGTTAGATATTATGACATTATTATCAGTTATGAAATAGTTATGAAAGCACCAGTTAACAAATAATACTATTTAACGCATTACTATTTAATATAACTATTTAACATAAACAATAAATATTTATATTGCCGCCAATATTACAAAGATATAATCTAATCGCATAATTAATAAACCCTATTATAACATAAACAATAAATATTTATGCGATTAGATTATATCTTTGTAATATTGGCAGCAATATAAATAATATATGTTTGGGTATATAAATATAACGCTATTGAATATCCGTTATACATTAATGTTCTTAAAATAATGATTTATTTCATAACACCATGTTTCTTCAATTTGCTATTAAAATAAGTTATATAAAGTTATTAGTAATTGTTTTACCCAACAGTTGGCATTATAATAAATATTTTAATATCACTTCAAATTAAATAAAAATCTAATATTTGAACATTGTCTCAGTTTGATTTTATAAAAAAATAAAACATTTTATTGATTATTTAACAAGATCAATAAATCAACACTACTTTTTGCCAATAAATTTTGAAATCAAGTTTAATACTTAATTGTATTTAAAAATGGAATTTTATTTACTTTATTCAAAATTATCAAAGGTTTCTAATTTCCAGTATAATATTTTACATATTGTAAATAATTAATTAATTACATTATTATAAAAAATATTAAAAATTCAAAAGTTATGAAAACTAATTCACTATACAATGCATAATATAATAATCAATCAATAAATATCTAAGAAACAATTGTTTGTAAATTAAATAAGTAATAGTTGAGTAACTTAAAGTTGACCAAGTGAATTTAAGATAATAAAAGTTGAGATAAAACATGGTTTACAAGTTTATAAATTTATTTTTGTATTTATAATGAGTGATTTTAATTTAATGTGATTTTATGACAACGCTATCTATCATACAATTAATAAAACTAATATTAAATTAAATAAATCATATGTTAACATTAACCCCATATTTATACGAGTAGTACATTCATTACACTATACGCAACAAAATCTATTTAAGCAAGATGACTTTGGGTAACCTAGTGTTATACTTGCTAACAATTACCATCATTATTGGTGGCCAAAGTAATGTGGTAGGAGCTCCGTCATCCTACATTCTGGGACCCGATGTTATTTATGGCCAATCGGCGCACTTTATGGACTATCCGTACGGCGCGGACGACCACTTATACGCCTACAAAGCGCCTGATATGGGATACAAACGCATACAGAATTACGGACACGCTGTGGACGACCCAGTTTATCCCAATGGAGCAGCTACTTGGAGTTGAATAATATATGAGCTATAATTGAGCTCTAGTATATTGAGCTCAGATTATGATATAACTTCTTATCTAATTAAAAATACACAAATTTCAAATGTTTAAAAAGTGTTAACACAATATTGATGTACACAATATATTTATATAATAATACTAAATGTGGTGTATTATAAATAAAAGTTTTAAACAATAATATTTAATGTTTATTGTTAAATAACACTGACCATGGGATAGTAGGGTATTTATTATTGTAATATGTTATTAGTAACAAGTAATATGTTTATTAACATAATAATACAATTAAAGCAAATCATGTATTAATAAATGAAATGAATATAAAACAATAGTTATTAGCAAAGAATAATAATAATAATAACTATAGATAATATCAAATATTAATTGAACATTTACCATTATATCAGTGTTCCCAATGGTTTCGATTGATTATTATAATTTTTATTTTCATTGAACGTATACGTTTTAATCATAATAATTATATTTGTTTTGTGAAAAAATGAGTGAATTATTAGAGAAACTTAAAATTTGTGATAAAATTCCAACAAATATTAGAGAAACAATTTCAAAATTACATGTTTTCTATGATTTTAATAAATCTATTAACGCTTTGGTTATAACAAATGATGATCTGGTCTATGGTTTGGGTAATAATGGTAAGGGGTGTCTGGGTTTGGGTCACAACCGGCCAATATTATCACCTAAACTGATATCACAATTATGTCATAAAAACATACAATATTTTGTCAATGGATTGGATTTTGTATTAGCAGTGAGTGATAACAGGATTTATGGTATGGGTTGTAACTCCCGGCGACAATTAGCCCTGGAGCAAAAGTCCAATTTACTTAAATTGTTTAAACGAGATGCAAAATATTTTAAACCAAAGCTAATATTATACTTTGAATCTATAATTGTTGATGATAAAAATATTGTTAAAATTAGTTGCGGTACTTATCACACACTAGTGCTCATCAGTGATGGCCGGGTGTATATCTGGGGTGGCAACAGTTGGGGACAAATTGGTTGCGGAGATAACCCTGAAAATATTTGTACACCAATTAAACTACAATTTAATGATAATGTTAAAATTGAATCCATTTATTGTTGTTACGACTCGTCGTTTGCGATCACATCCGACGGACATGTCTTCAGTTGGGGCGACAATAGAGGCCATGAATTGGGACTCAATATAACTGATAACAGAGTATTTAAACCCCAATTGATTGAAACTATAAGTGATGTGAAGTCAATCTGTTGTAGTGTTTATGGCATATATTTCCTGACATCAAAAGGGTTTTTATACTTTTGTGGCAAACATTACCAAAATAGTATTGAGATCATTGAACAAAAACCTAAACAAATACTATCGACAAATCGTTTCGAAGATTTACAACAAATAAATTCATTTATTTTTAATAAAATTGGATTTATTTGTGTTTTAATGAATGACAGAATCAATAAAATCACTGAAAAACACGAAATTATTGAAACAAATTATCAAAGTTTTGCCGATCTTTACGCCAATGAATGCCAAATAAGTTACAAAACAATTAATGTAAACGAAATGAATAGCATTTCCAACAATTAGTTCATTGAACTCTCGACCGCAGGTGAGGGCGCTTTTGGCTCTGTTTTTAAAGTGAGACATAAATTGGACGATAATTTATATGCGGTTAAAAAAGTACAATTTCTTGGTAAATATAATAAGTATGGTTATAATTATTTTATTTAAATAATCATTTTTTTATAATTTTAAAAACAGATAAAATGGAAGAGAAAGAAATGATGAGAGAAGTGACAAATTTACGTAAATTGGACTCAGATTTTGTGGTCAAATACGAGAACTCGTGGACTGAAGGCAAACAACTGTATATACAGATGGAGTACTGCCCGCAAACACTCGGGTCAGTACTCCGGGATAAACGACAAGTATTTGGGAGACAATCGACTAAACCCATGAATATTTACGAGTATTTTATATGCTGTGAAATATTTCGGGAACTCTTAATATGTGTTCGATATTTGCACGACCAAGACCCTCAATTCATTCACCGGGATTTAAAGCCCGACAATATACTGATTTCATACACTAGTGTTAACAATACATTCGTCAAATTAGGTGACTTTGGTTTGGCCACTGAACATGCTAGATCGTTTAAAAGTCACACCCAGGGAGCGGGAACTCCCGATTATATGGCACCGGAGGTACATCTTTATAAAAACTATAATATTAAAGCAGACATTTATAGTGTGGGCGGTATTGGTATGAAATTGTTTGAAATTAACCCAAGGTATTTATTTAAATAATAGTTCATAGCAAAATAATAAATTAAATTAAAAAAGTTTTCACAAATGTTGTAAAATACATTTAGCGATTGTCAAAACTACAATTCAAAAACATTATGGAAACAATTTAATCGTTTACACGATTTGATTACATCAATGATTGAGATTAAAGTCAATAAGCGGCCGACAAGTTGTCAAGTGCTCGACGCCTACACCGAGTGGTCACTCGATAAACAGATAATTACGGCAAACGAACAGCAATTCAATGAAACCTTGAATAACTTAAAATCAAATGATAACTCATTTTTCTACGAATGCTTACTCTATAAGACTGAGTCCACGGATAGGGTGACCAAAAGCCTGTCGGCGGACACACAACGATGCGATTTGTTATTAAATAATATTGGGGAACGTGTGGCCAACGAAGAGGATCGCGTGCAACGGTTGGATCCATTGACCACAACCTTCAACACCGATGACATCGGGGCTGAACTGACACAAGTAGAGCAACTGTTGAATAATATGCGGGTTGACGTTCAAACGCTGCGCAAGTGTGGCTACAGTACAGTTACTGTTGGGGAACTCCACGATAAAGTACAACAATTGTGTCAGCGATGGGCGGACAGCAAAGACAAGTTCTGGCGGCGAGTGATGGCTCGGTTGGAGGCCAAAAGGGCCGACGCCCGGCGACGATCACCGACCGCAAAACAGGCACTAATTGATAAATACCCCGAATATTAATGATCTCAGGGAGTGTATACGTGCGATGGCAGCGATAAAGAGTAGACTCGATTCGTACGGTTATGGCGACAATGACTTGCCGTCCATGAAATCAGTGGCGGCTAAATGTCGGACAGAAAAGCAGGCCATCGAAGGGATCGGCCCTATAATCGAGCGGTGCAACCAAAAGTTGGCTGATATGACCGATATTGTGGATCCGGAGTACGTGAAAGTGTTCACGTTGGTTCAAAGTGGCATATATAAGAGATACTCATCCCTGGTATCGCATTTCGAATGGAAGTTGAACTTTATTCAAAAGGGTATAGATTGGAGAGAGTCGTTCAAAATTGATCAGAATAATCGTAGATGGAAGTGGAATCAATGGGAAAGATATCGCAAAGATTATCGATTTTAGTCATAAAGTTTAATACAATACATACTTAATTCTTGAATATTGAGAACAAATTTTATATGTTTTGTTCACAAATGTTTCAATTACAAACACGTATTAGCCAATTGATTACTAAATATTAAAAATTATATATTTAAATCTTGTAAACATACATTCATGTAAACAATTATAACACTTTTGGACACCATTTTGTCGTTTTTGAATAACCCGTTTCTCCTAGACATTTGAACAGCATTATAATACAAAATTGTGTTTATAAGGATCAAGTGAGTACGGGTGGACCAAGAGGTTATCGTTCAGAGGATAATCTCATAAAAATCACATTTTGTTGAAATAAAAAATGACATTAAAATCAAGATATAATAAAACTGAAAAAATGTTAATAAACTGAAGGAATTGAGTTTTTTAGGGAAATTCATCGCACGACTTGTTTATTAAAATATTGATAAATTATTTGTATTTCTTTGATTTAAACTTAATGATTGTCTAAACAAAAATCGTGTAATAATGGTTATCCAAAAACACTTAAAATGCATTAAATATTCATTGTTTGCCATCAATGAGTTTATATTAGTTATTAATAATAACTATTATTATTGATTGATTTTATGTGACATAATATACACACTTTATTTATCATATTAACTTTGGTATATATAAAAAATTATTAAGCACTTTGAGCTAACATTACAAAATTTTTAAAACAAAATGCAAACGAATTATAATAAAATATAAGCATGTTTGTAATAAAACTAATTTAAATTTACATTTACAAAAAAATATTACTAATTATTTTATTAACAAATAAAAGTTAAACATTTATTATAATATAATATTGTTACATATTATGTTGTTAATTGCAGTAATTGTTTATATTTTAAATGTTATATATAATAATAAAAAACTATTATAAAACAATTATAATTGCATATTCAGTGCCACAACTGAATTAATATGATCGGGATCGTTTAACAAGATTAAAACCCAGTGCCTTAATCTCATCAATAAGTAGCGCCTTATCGCGGGTGCGGGGGCTGTCCGTCTGCGACCACTCGGCAAAGGCCGCGACCTCTACCGCGCCATTAAGTAACAGGGCATCCATTATGTCGGCCACAGCCGGTCTGTATTGGCACCGCTCGTACATCAACCACTCCAACGCCGTCAACAGCTCTACCTGAGCCACAAACGACTCGTCGGCGCCGCCAATACTAGCGATCAACCGCTTGAGGGCAGGCACGTGACCGGCGAACAACGCGGTGTTAACCTGTGTCGGACAGGGGACCCGGTGCTCGACACACCGGCTAACGTGCTCCCCTTTTGTCACCATAATGTCCAACATGTGGTAGAAATACTCTGTGCGGCACATCCCGGCGCCGGTTGCTCGTCGTAACTCACACTCCAGTAATGTATACACTATGGTATGCGAGCCGTCCGTACCGTCACACATATGGTCGGCCAAATTGGTCAGTCAGGCCGGACACGAGCGCACCGGTCCCCGCCAGTAGCCCGCGTTATACGATTGCTGATATTTTGGTATTTCCCATAGAGTTTGCATAGAAGTTGACTGGCGTTTGGATCTAGTGCTTATGGGTGCGGTTGGCCGCCGTTTATTGGCCACATCAACCACTTGATTGCGCTCATCATCCCTGACCAGGCTGTCTTACCAACTTTAGCTTGATGAATATAATAAACATGGTAAATATTTTTAAAAAAAAGTAATCTGGCTTAATTTTTTAATTTCCCAAAAAATACATACATTTAGTTTTTGTTACGCTATTATCACCTAATTTTGGTTTCAGTTCTGTTGTAATAATTATTTGATTATTTTTAACTTAAAATTTTTAAACTTGAGTTTTTAATTTTAAGTTTTATTTATATTTTGCGTTATAAAAAATTAAAAATTTATAACAATATTGAACACAAACCTGAGAATCCGGAATCCATTCGCTTTAACACAGGCTTTATTTCAGATCTATTGCCTAATAATTAAAAAAAACAATTTTATTAATTATAAAAAATAGTAAACTTATTAATCAAAATCAAATTAAAACTTACTATAAAGTGGCCAATTATTATCACGTGACTCAACTTCAGTTTCCATTTCATTATCACTAATTAAAATGTTATTATTAATTGCCTTTCTATCTAACAAGTTATTTGACATTCATTGGCGTAAAACTCAACAAAACTTTTATAATTAGTTTTGTATAACACATCAGTGCATGAAATCAACACTTTATACACTCTATTATTCATCAAAACGGGCACAAAATCATATAAATTAATCAGCGAATTAAACGTGGCCAAATGTTGGCATCTATTGTCAACTTGGTACAATTTACGTGGAATTATATCGGTGATTACGGTATCAGTCAGGGAATATTTCCCGCATAAATACAGACAACCCTCGTCTGAGTGAAAGTATGTCACCGTTTTAGTCATGCAAATTGTCACCACTTTAACCCTGTTTAGTCCCGACACCAATCGTGGCTCCGGTACGCACTCGTCCGGACAGTCGTGTCCCAACAGATGGTCACTATTCGCGCCCCAACTAAACACCTGTCGATCGGATGTGACGGCGAATGACGAGCAATAGTGGCTATAAATGGCTGTTATTTTGTCGGCTTTACTGAACGGCAATCGTTGGGGTAGGAAAACGCTCCGGCAATCCTTGGGGTGGCGCCGGCAGCCAACCTGTCCGCCCTCGTTGTCGCCCCAGCCGTACACCAGGCCTTTGCTGGTGAGCGCCAGGCAGTAGTTTTTACCGCAGGCTATTTGCTGTACAGTCATTTCATTATCGTTATGAGTGTACGTTATTTTGCCGGGTGTTTGATATTGTTTGTCCGCTGACTCACACCGACCCAACTGTCCAAATGTGTTGTCACCCCAACTGTACAGCCGGTGATCGCCGGTCACAGCCGTCGCAAAACCGGATCCGTTGGCAAAGTATTGTACTTTTTGTTGGCATAATTGCGGTATGAGTTCCGGTGCCGACACAGGCTGACAGTGGCCTAAGCCGAGGCAACCCATGGTGTTTGTGCCCAACCCATAGACCTGATCCTCGCGGGTGACGAACAGCACATCTTTGCCTTTTGAGCAGTCGCTGAAAATGTGACACAATTTGATGTTTTGTTTGTTTGTCGCTGCGATTGAGTCACATATTGTGAAGTTGTCTAATAGGGTAGACATTGTTTTAGTTCATACACTATTCACACACTTTATATTGAAATAGATGAGATTAGTTACATCATCAATCATTAGTTTATGTAAATAACATCGTAGAAAATAAAAATGTAACAAAATACATGCATGATTGTTTTGTTTTGTATGTTAAATATAACAACTCTTTTAAAAGTTAAACATTTTTTGAATATAACTAATGTACTGTTTTGTATACAAAAGAGTGCAAAGTGTATATCTGGGGAAAGTCTATTGATAGTCTATAATCTATAAAGCAGTAACTGATTAGAAATCAGTGATTACAAGGCTTACAAAAATACAAATTAATCTCTAAATGAAAAATATATAATTTGATTGTTATAAGTTTAGGATATTATTTATACAAGTTAAAAGAAAAACTATTTTATCTATTCTTTAGTTTTATTAAACATTATCTCATAAAAAACAGATTTCTCGTTAGATTTAAGTTTATTTAACACAATTTAAATTCCTTATGATTAGTGATAACACTCTTATGTATTGACCACTCGTTATATTTAGCCAACACTTGCCGACACTCAGGCCTAAGTCTCCACAAACTTGCCATCATTTGCACGAGTGTTTCATACATGCATTGTATGGATGTTTTGAATAATGAGTCGTTATCTCCAATTGGATCGGCACTAAAAAATTCATTAGAAATATAAGTAACAAAAAATTTAATAATTAATAAAAACAATTACGACTGAAAATCAAAGCCAAACAACTCTTCGCCGATTGCTTGAAGACTATAAACATCTGATTTGTGGTTATATTGTCTGCCTTTCAATACTTCAGGTGCAGCGTATCCATGGGTGCCGACAGCCGTGCGTTTATATCGGTGGACAGTTTGCCCATTGGTGTTGTTATCTGTGGCCAAACCAAATCCACACAGTTTTATAAATCGATTGCAGATAGTGTTTGTATCAATCAATATGTTGTCGGGTTTGAGATCTCGATGGATAACCTGTGGACTCGATTCGTGTAAATAGTGTACACATTCTAAGATCTCTTTAAATATTTAAGACACTATATACAATATGTTTAAATATAAATTATGATCACTAATTGTCTCTCGGGCCACTCTAAAGCCACTATTGTATAGTGAGTTAATGCTTTAGTAATAGCATTATTACTGCTCTCAAATAAAAATCAATTGCTTTGCGTATAACACATACAGGATTGACCAGGAGCACGCAAAAGCACGTAAAAGTTAGGCTTTGCCTCTATGCTCCCATAGACAATACATTACAGTTTACCCTCGTTTACCCAGTTTTACCTGCCCTGCGTGGCTATGGTATTGACTATTAAGTATTACATGTCAACATGGCAATCCCTGGTTATAATTTATATCATTAGTTATTATCTCATTTTAAATAACATTTTGGGCAATAAAACTTTGTTTCCATTGTATCCACTGATTGTTATAATTGGTATCAAAGGGTTATAACTATATTTAAGTCATAGAAATTACACAATTTTTTCTTTGTTTTATGAATATTTATTATTAAATGTGTTTTAAAGTATTAACTATTAAATGAATTGACTAATAATATGTTATTCACAAATGTGCTAAATATTATTAATTAAAATATATTGTTTTATATAAATATATTTTAATAATTAAATTGTTTTAAAATTTTTTAATTATAGAAATAATAATAACTATTAAAATGAGTAAATTTACTATTTGTGACAAAATTCCAGTAAATATTAATGAAAAAATTGCAAAAATACATATATTTTATGATAATGACAACGGAGAAAATATATTATTTATAACGAATGATAATCTCGTGTATTGTTTTGGTACTAATAGTAATGGATGTCTGGTTTTGGGACATAACCGACCCATACTATGGCCAGAAATAATACCACAATTATGTGATCAAAACATCCAATACTTTGTCAATGGATTGGACTTTGTATTAGCAGTGAGTGATATCGCTATTATTTATGGTATGGGTAGTAATAAATGTGGACAATTGGCACGAAATGATAACTTAGATGATGATGGTGTGAAAGCAGAACAAATAGTATATTTTAATAATACAAACATTATACAAATCAGTTGTGGTACTCATCACACACTGACCCTAACACGTGATGGCCGGATGTATGCCTGGGGTGACAACAGTTGCGGGCAAATTGGTTGCGGCGATAATAATACAAAATATATTTGTACACCATTTGAGATACCATTTACTGATAGTAATAATCAGATAAAAGCAATTCATTGTTATAACAACTCCTCGTTTGCCATCACATCCAATGGAGAGGTCTTCAGTTGGGGTGACAATAGTCACCATCAATTGGGACATAATATAACTGATAATAAAGTATTTAACCCCCAATTGCTTACATCCATAAATGATGTCAATGCAATTAGTCACAGCATTTATGGCACATATTTTCTGACATCCAATGGGTTTCTATACTTTTGTGGAAACAATAATCAAATTATTACAAAAATTCCGAAACAAATTCTATTGACAAACAATAATATAAATAACATACAATCTATACAACAATTTAAATCATTTATGATTCATAAAAATGATTTAATTTGTGTTTTACTTAATGATAAAGTCTATCAATTATCGAACGAACATAATTTAATTGAAACAAATTATAATAATTTTACAGAGTTTTACGCCATGGAATACCAAATAACTTATAATACTTATAATTTTGTTAACTTAAATTCATTCGTCGATTCTGGAGCCATAGGTTCGGGTGGTTTTGGGACTGTATTTAAAGTAAAGCATAAATTGGATGATAAGATATATGCACTCAAAAAAGTAGAATTTGAAGGTAAATTTATAATAATTTATATTATTGAATTTAATAATACACAATTATTAATATTCCATAAACACCTAGATTATGGCCTAGAAAGAAAAGTGAAAATTATGAGAGAGGTGAAAAATTTATCAAAAATCAACTCAGAGTTTGTGGTTAAATATTACGACTCGTGGATCGAAGGCAAACACCTCTACATACAGATGGAGTACTGCCCGCAAACACTCCGCTCTGTACTCAATGACAAACAACAAGTATTTGGGAGACAATCGACTGAAGCCATGAATATTTACGAGTATTTCATTTCTTGTCAAATATTTCGGGAAATTTTGGAATGCGTTCAATATCTTCATGAATTGAACCCTCCAATCATTCACAGGGATATAAAGCCCGAGAATATATTGATTTTGCATAATACAAAAACTAATACATTTCTAAAACTGGGTGACTTTGGTTTGGCCACTGAACATAACCGGCCAACTAAGACTCATACCCAGGGGGCGGGAACTCGCAATTACATGGCACCGGAAGTCGGGATGGGTAAAAAATATGATGTTAAAGCTGATATTTATAGCGTTGGAATGATTGGACTTGAAATGTTTGAATTGAACACAGGGTATGTAATTGTAATAAAAAGACACAATTATTTTTAGCCAGAATTCAACTATGAATAATGTGGTTTATAGGATCGTTCGATTTATATAATAGAGTTTATAAAATTACATTGCTATAAACTTAACTTAAGCCATAATTTCATATTTATGATGATAATAATTGATGATTAATGCTAACAGATATAGTTATTCTAGTAAAGTATAATAAATAATATGTAGGGCTAACAGAAAAGAGCAAATTCTCAAAGGAATCCATGTTCTCAATGGACAATAATACCTGTTATAACAATTTTATGTGTTAAGCATTATTTGATTACTGAATGTTTTATCACTCTTTGACGAATTCATAATTTAGGCGAGCCTGCATATTAAGTGAATCATCAAATGTTAACCTTAATAATATGTAATATTTGTTATGTTATTTATTTAGAGGCAAACCTTTGGAGAAATATCGTTTTGCCTCGTTTTGTGCTCAGTTTAATCCATTATATCACGCGATCGGTTCAATGTATGAAACCTTGATCGGAGACCGGCCGACAAGTAGACGTGTATTACAGGGATTTCATAACTGGTCTATCGATAAACAACTAATTACAGCAAACAATAATGAATTTACTATAATATTAAATACCTGTAAAAATAATGCAAATTTGTTTTTCTATGAGTTTTTGTGTGTGAAAACAAATACCGATTGTGATAAACAAATTGGCATTAATTTGAGCAACACATCATCCAATGATGTAAGCAAATCAGCTACACCAAATCCGGCAGCTAAGCAAATTGTACCAATTCGACAGAATAGCATAAATAAGGTAAAAGTTATGAGATTATGTTCTATCATTTTGTATAATAATCTAGTATTTTACTTGCAATTTATTTAAACATCAGTGGAATAAGCTGAATTCGGCGGACATAGTTGACAATCAATATGTCGTTTCTAAAACGCAAACAAGCAAACATGGTGACGACAATAAATCTGGGCTTAGCAAGTTACCGTTCGCGACCCAACAAAGTGGTAAATTGTTTAAGATGTATTTGTAAATATATAATTGTAATTAAATTATAAATAATTTACTATTTAAAACAAGTTAAAAACAGAGTTAGCGAAATCACGACAAATATCGAAAGCTGTGAAAATACTAACCTAAGTGTTCGGCTCAAAACCAGAATCAACAAGTTAAATGTGTCTTTAACAGCAGCATGGGAGACCAAACTAGGTATAGACAATCATGATACACATAATTAACTGAATTAATGCATATGAGCTGTAGACATTTAAAATATGTTTTTACATTAATAATTTGTATGATAATTAATTGTTGAATTACCAAACCATAGATTGTGACAAAACGGATAGTGTTATGGATAGATCGCAACAAAACATAAACTCACCTTGTAGACAAACTAGTGATGCAAACACATCGAGGCCACAATGCCTTTTGAAGCGAACCAATTCAATAAAATTAATACCAGGTAAATACGGGCCCTCACGCAGCGAACAGCCCGAGTTATCGGTAGTCAAGACTTCCAGCCGCGGACGCGAACCCCCGGCCATCTACCCAAAGCCCAAACATTTTTCGTCCAATACGTGCATTACGGATGACGTGTTTGATGTCCGCCAAAATCGGGAAGAGTTCTCAAAACTCGTGGACAAAATTGGTAGCGTTGTGTCGACCCCGAGGTGGCCCTCGAGCCAAACCATACCTACCTCGTCAAGAACCCAATTGCTCACCGAATCAATGTCGCACTCAATATCATTTATGTCAATTAATGTCGATGTTCAGCCACAGTCATCGCTAACACCACAGCCGCGTCAGCCATTTTCGTCGTCACCAATTAGTTTTGACTCTCCCCCACCCCACCCGCTTACACCCCGGTGGCCCCGTAAATCAATAACTCAATCAACATTATCTAGTTCTATTAATTACGACTCAACTCCCCTACCGATTACCCCTAGATCGTCGGCAACACACACTACCCCACTGCCCCCTTTGCCCCCCAAATCTGAATCAGTCCGTAAATCTATTTCGGATAGAAATCCATCTATATCAAGTAGTGATGATACTATATCACCAATATTAACTACTAACAGATTGCTAAGTAGATTAATATCTGTTGATAATAATATAGACATCAATATTATTAAATTATTTCACGTTTTCGATGATATAAACGGTTATAATTTATTGTTTGTCACAAATGATAATATTGTTTACGGCATGGGATCTAATTATTACGGATCACTCGGTTTGGGTCACAATATGACTGTCAATAAACCAGAGATTATTCCAGAATTATGTCAACAAAATATACAACAATTTATATGTGGATTGGATTTTGTATTATCCATAAATGACAACAACTCTATACATGGTTGGGGGCGTAACGAAAGGGCACAGTTAGCAAGATCATCTACGGAAAAATATTTAAAACCAGACATCATATCATTGCCTAATAATCCTGTTATCCGTGATATTAGTTGTGGTGATTATCACACACTTGCGCTGACCGATGATGAATATGTCTACAGTTGGGGTAATAATACGTGGGGACAATCGGGTGTGGGTGACATATCGGCCAAAATAACAACTCCGATAAAATTACAGTTCAAACACAATTCTAAAAACTATAAAATTAAAAGTATTAATTGTTGGTGTCATTCATCGTTTGCCGTCACATCTAATGGCCGTGTTTTCAGTTGGGGTCGAAATGAGTGCCATTTGGGACACAATATAATGGATAATGTATTCAAACCACAAATGATTGACAATTTATTTAACATTCACACTGTATGTCCGGTGGCCAGCGAGACGTATTTTATTGCATTCGGGGGAATAGTGTACTTTTGTGGTAAATATTTTGACAACAATCACGTGCTAACAATAAATAATGCAGCTAAAAAAGTATTTGAAAATAACACCATGGACAAATTATATTCACAAAAGACATTCAAACTGAATAATTCCCGTTTGATTGGTATATCAAATGATAATATATACGAAATCCACTCACCATATAAACTAGAAACAACTAATTACACTAATATATTTGATTACTATTCAAATGAGATGAAATTAACGCATAAAACAATTAATCTATCTTGTTATAAAGAATATAATTATGGTAGTATAGAACAATTTAATAAGCAATGTGGTAAATTTTTGGCTAAAATGTCTAATAAAATTAAACGGCAGAAAAGTGGTATGACATTGACAGTAATTATTTCATGTTTGTTGGTTTATTTAATTTACATTTTAAAAATTTAATATTTTCTAGATCTAAATAATACAAAATTAACTCAATATAAGAGTTATTACAAAGAGTCATCTGTATTGGGTTTGGGATGTTTTGGTATAGTTTCCAAAGTTAAACATAAAACATATGGAAGTGAAAGGGCAATCAAAATAATTGGTAGGTTATTTACACATTTTATATTAAATACGTAACTATATACTGTACAGTATTTATAATTATTTATTAAATAATATTTTAAATAATTGCGTATATTTCATTAAGCTTTATTAATCATATTTTAAAATTTAAATGCTACTAAAATGTATAATGTTAACTATCAGATTGTAAATACGATCATACAATACATAATGAGTTAAACAAGTTGACAAACATATGCGACAAATATTTAGTGCAATATTACAAAATATGGTTTGAAGACAATAAATATTACATTCCAATGGAGTTGTGTTCACACAGTTTACGGACAGTATTTGACTTTAAGAGTCGAGTGTTTGGCCGCCGATCGGCCGAAGAGTTTTTGACAGAGTTTTTCATTTCATGTCAAATATTCGCAGAGCTGTTGAAATGTGTCCAACATTTGCATGATTTGAGTCCAGCAGTGATTCACCGAAACCTCAAACCCGAGAATGTGTTAATCGGAGGCAAAGCCGGGAATTTGTGTTTGAAATTATGTGACTTTGGTTTGAGTCAAGTCTTTAAGAGTCTGTCAGACAATAGAAATCCCGAATATTTATCGCCCGAAGAAACTAATGGTGGAACTGTTGACTACAAGACAGACGTTTACAGTGCGGCCAAAATCGGGAAAAATATATTTGATATTCAAGTAACACCTACATTGTAAGTATATTTGTAATTAATATTTTTAAATATTACTTTTGACAATATATTAAGAATTTAATAATAATTATATTTAATAATATTATATATTATTTGTAGGTCAGGAATGTATTCATCGGATTACAAGTTGAAAAACTCTGTGACTGAATTACAAAAAGTGTTGATTTCTATGCAATCATTGGAACCGTTCGATAGACCCGATTGTCGACAAGTATTACAAGAGTATACTTATTGGTCTATTAATGGCTATTGTTTGTCATCTGATGGTTACAAGAGATTTGTAAATAAATTAAAACAACAAAATGATAAGATTTTTCAAGATTACATTTTATCAAAACTAGAAATAATAAAACAATGATTTTATACTCTAATAAAATCTAATTTATTTTAACATTTTATAATTTTAAATAGAATTAATTTTACGAAAACTATTACAAACATTAAATCTATATATGATTACTAAATGGTACAGTATCTTGTTTTAAAATATATTTATAAGCAATTAATAACTTTATAAATTAAGGTTATTACATAATTCCTACAAAGTTTACTCAAAACATAATTATTATAAACAATTAATATTAATTTTTATTAAAATAATAACAAGAATTTATTCTGTAACATAAAAATTAATTAATTTTTAATAAACTGATATTTAGATATTTAAACATGATCATTTTCTGAATGTTGCCACTTGATTAATGCAACCGGGATTATTGAAACAATCAGGTCGACCGATAAGGTTGTTATAGTTTTGAATAGTCATCGGACGTCCGCCGTGTCTGTGGCCACCGAACGGGTGGTCGCCGTACTAGTAGTAGCTGTGCGGCGATAACGGGGGCCGGTATTGGTTGAATGGGCTCGTACGAGTAGTACGGGTCGGGCAGATATGCCAGCGCCAGTAACTGACCTCCAATCGCCTGTTATGGTGACCACACAAACAGCTGTAATGCATGTCCAGGTTAGAGTTGACATACGTTATCGTCCAGGTTATAAGTCCAGGATATCGTTTTGTAATAGTTTGCCCTGTGAATGATAAATACAATATACTGTTTAATTGGGGGCTAAATGTTTGTTAAATGCATGTTAAACATACACAACAAGTGCTTACAAGTCATAAAGTGTTAATAAATGGCTGACTATTAGTGGCACATCTGGTTTAAATAATTACAGGGTGTGCATAAATGAAGCCCACAATAGTAAACTTGATTATTCCTAATTATATTCGGTCTACAAATTAAGATTAAGCATACAACTAGTCACAAACTGCGGATCATATACTCGTATGGCTAAACGGCTAAACATTTATTTTCTCGAAAGATGAAATTGTTTTGTTAACTCTAAGATTGTTTTTAATTCATATTTATTCAAAACATTTACATAAAGTTATATACACTTTATTATATTTATGAGAAACCTTAAATATTTTGCTCCTGCCTTTGACTGTATTAAAAGTCTACAGAAATATTATAATAACCCATTATTTATTATTACAATAACATTTTTAGTGATTTATTTTTATTGAGTTGTATTTATACTTAATAGTGAAATAATAATGTTATGTTAAGTGTATAGTATACTGTATTTTATTGTAGCATATTGATATTGCATAATTTTAATTACATTGCAAATAATAATAAAGAATAACGACATTTAAATATTGATTTTATATTATAAATATAAATATATACTATAATCTACAATAAAATAGTATTTAATACTATATTTGAAAATATAAAGTTTGTAAGACAAAACACAATATAAGTAACTAATGTTACATTAGTAATGTATTATATTAACCAATTATTTATTATTACAATAAGATTTTTATATAAATTCTAGTCATTTATTTTTATTGAGTTGCATTTATACAGTAATTAATATTAGGTCATTTGATATTGTTCGGGCCTAACTATCTTCTAGTGTAGATAGAATTATGAAAATGATATCATATTTTTAAGTAACATTCCTAGGCATCAGAAACCAAGTTTCATAAAATTCGCATCAATAGTTATGGCACAGGAATATTTTATATGACACCTGCCAAAATAATGTATTCCTATGGGAGAGTGGCTATTTCAGTATTTATTGACGTGTGATTTAAGACTAAATTTGATCATTGTTAAACAATAATAGAGATAATGCAAAACCCTTCCTCTTCTGAAATCTTCAATATCTAATGGATCTAATGATATGCTATTCAATGGCCAACATTGACCGATATCCCAGCTGTGGTCAAATCTCTATCGGTAGTCAACAAGATTGGCGGCCTGTGTTCGGTCAGTTTGCATTTGATTTCCATTATAGTTGATGTCATGAAATCTTCTTAAAACTATTGTCGGATAACTAATTGTGAATATCAATATCCAAATAATCACTTTAAACGTGTATTTTGTAAAAATATTTTAAC